GAAAATAGTAATTGTTCATTGAAAGGAGAAAGGTTTGCTCCTTGAGCTGTATACTGCAAGTAAGTTCTAAGGACAGAAATTTGAGCTAAAAATAGAGTTCAGAATGGTGATTTTGTGTCAGATTTATCTCCAGTGAGACCAAAGTGTGTGTGATTGAAATACTGTGTGCAGCTCAGTAAGTTGTGCACTGGGCAATTCTCTCAGTACAGTTAACACACTACATCTCTGAACTGTTCCTCTCTCCTTTGACACAGGAGAGTATTGCAGAATTGGAGAAGTGTGAATGGAGAGCTTATGTGAGGTATAACATGGACTGCACATTTTCTGTGCATATTAATTTGATTTCAACAAGAGGCAAAGGAAACCATTCACTGAATTCAACCTTGCAATTAAAGAAATCCCCTCAAATCATTTAATGCCTCCTATCTAGTTTATGTCCTATTATGGATCTAGTTTGTTAATTTCTTTTTTAATTTTTATGGATGTTGATTATATTCAACATAACTATCAAGAGATAAATTTCTCAGCTTTAATATTTGCCAGTAATTATTTCTGTTTCCTTGAGCCATGCACTTCCAGCTCCTTATGCCCTAATGTCGTCATTTTTTTTGTTTCTATAATATTGGGAATTGTGTCTAGAAACAAAATACTGGATGAATACTTTCCATGAAGGCCTTAATTTCATGGTAACCAGGGACAATATTTTTTTATTTAAAGTTATCATTTTCAGGAAGAGTTCTCCAAATTATTTTTTACCTTTTCTTAGTCAGATATTTAAACGTTAACACATTATTTTCTGTAAAATGTCAATGCAAGGACTGAGCTGGAAAGTTATTCAACAGGAAGAGTTCTTCCTACCTGAATATAGGCAGTGCCCAGATTACAAAAGTCTAATTTACATACAGGCGCTAGTTGGGAACAACACCCACAGAGCACATTTTATTAGCAATTTGAAATACGTACATGGTCCGTAAGATGGGCAGTCTCTTCCAGTGCATTTTACTGCCTCTGAAAACCTGCTGGAGGACCCGCTATGAATCATTTCCAACTCAATAGCACACAACAAAAACATGATAGCAGGTACAATTTTGTGATATGATTATTATTATTATTACTGTATTAGTATGTTGAATGACCCAGAAAGCATCAAAAGATGACATAGGGAATTCACAGAATCCTGTACCAGAAAGAACTGACTGACTCTGAAAAATGGCAGGAAGTGCCATGTAAACAGGAGCCAATGGTATAGTGAAGGAGGAAGTAGAAGCTTCATTGAAGGCTTTGGAAAAACCATAAGGCCCCAGGCATCTATGTGATACCAGTTATTGACTTGTTTCAGTTAACAGAGGCAGCCTTGGATGCACTCACCAGTCTGCGTCAGGAAATTTGGAGGAAAGTTGTCTAGATAATGGATTGGAAAAGGTCCATATTTCTTCTCATTCCCAAGAAAGGTGATCCAAATGAAGGTGGAAGCTATCAAAGACTATCATTAATATTACATGCAAGTAAAATACTGCTGAAGATTGATCAAAAACAGCTAGAACAGTATATAGACAGGGAACTGCCTGAAGTTCAAGCAGAATTTAGAAGAGGTTGTGGTACCAAGAGATATCATTGCTGATGTCAGATGGATCCTGGCTGAAAGTAAAGAATACCAGAAGAATGTCCATTTATTATGTTTTATGGACTATGCAAAGGCATTTGACTGTGGATCATAACAAGTTGTGGCTTACATTGAAAAAATGGGAATTCCAGAGCACTTAATTACCTATACTTGGACCAGGAGGCTGTTGTGCAAACAGAGCAGGGGAACATTACACGGTTTAAAATTAAGAAGGGAGTGTGTTAGGGTTGTATTCTCTTTCCATACCGATTTAATCTGTATGCTGAGCAAATTATTTGAGACGCTAAACTCTATGAAGAGGAGTGCAGCAGAAGACACAATGTTACTTGCTGAAAGTGAGGAGGACTTGAAGCACTTGTTGCAAAAGATCAAGTAATGCTACCTTTGGTGTAGACTACATCTCAATGTCAAGAAAACAAAGATTCTTACCACTGGACTGATAAACAGTGTCATGAAAGATAGAGAGGAGATTGAAACTGTCAACAGCATCATCTTGCTTGGACCCACAATTAACACCATTGGTACCAGCAGTCAGGCAATAAGGAGATGCATTGCACTGGGAAAACTGCAGTTAAAGACCTCTCCAAATTATTGAGGAGTAATGAGGTCAGTTTGAGGACTAAGGTGTGTGTCTGATTCAGGCTATAGTCTTTCTGATCACATGCTATCCATTTGAGAGCTAGACAATGAATAAGGATGACAGAAGAAGAATTGATGCTTTTGAGCTGTGGTATTAGACAAGAGCACTGAACATCCTATGGACAGCCAAAAGAACAAACAGATATGTCTTGAAGTGGGTGCAGCCAGAGTTCTCTCTGGAGGCAAGAATGATGAGTCTTCGCTTCACATACTTTGGGCATGTTTCTAGAAGGGGCTATTTCTTGGAGAGGGGCATGATGTCGGGAAGGATGTAGGGTTGGTGAAGGAGAAGACGACTGTCCACCAGGTGGATTGACACAGTGACTCTGCAATGGACTCCTGTGTGTCAGGAAGTGTGAGGATGGCGCAGGATAGATCAGGGTTCAGATCCGCTGTTCATAGGGTCACTATGAGTCATACTTGACTTGACAGCATCCAACACAATAACATTGTTGTTGTTGTTATGTGCCATCACATTAGTATATTAAAAATGTTTTAGTGTATTCAGAGGTGTTTCTTTCTCTATTTTTGCATAGAAAGAGGTTGTTGTTGTTATGATGTGCCATCAAGTCGCTTGAGACTCATATTGACCCTATGTACAAGAGCCCTAAATGCTGTTCTATCCTGTGCCAACCTTGCCATCTCTGTCACACTCATTCCCACCACCCCAATCACACAATTGATCCATCTCATTGAGGGTTTTCCTCTCCTTCGCCGCCTCTCCACCCTCCCAAACATGATGTCCCTCTCCAAGGACCAGTCCCTCCTTGCAACATGCCCAAAGTATGTCAGATGAAGCTTTAGAATCCTTGACTCTGGTGAGCTCTGGTGGCCTAGTGGCAAGAAGCTGTACTGCAATCCCAGAGGTGTGCAGTTCAAATCCACCAGATGCTTTACAGAAGGAGGAACCATCTCCTCCTGTACCAGTCAAATCTGATTTGATGGTGCACACACACACACAAATAATAAAAATAAAATAAATAAATAAATTTTTAAAAAAAGAATCCTTGACTCCAAGGAGCATTCCCGCTTCACTGCCTTAATAACCCCTTACCATTAAGTTGGTTCACGTTCATGATGAATCTCCATGGTGTCTCTGAGACTTAATCTTTATTGAGCGCAGACTACCTTTTCTTTCTCCTATGGAGCAGCTGGTGGATTTAAACCACCAACCTTTAGGTTCACAGCCCAACATTGTAATAATGTGCTACACCACCCAGTTTCCGCATAGAGAAATAGACTGCATGTTGTATACTAAGACAAACAATTGGCTGACGGATGTTAGATAGGAACCATACCTGTTTCAGTTTACGTCCAAATTTGACTTAAGGGCAGATGTAGAAACAGAACTCATTAATCACACAAGGACTTCCTGTCATGGCCTTTTGATGGTACAAATTTAGTCTCAGTTCTACAATGACTCATTCTTGGGAGACCCTCTTTGAATGGCACCATCAAGCCAAGCTGACTAAAAGCGTCTCAGGGAGAAAGGAAGATAGATTCTCATACTCTCAGCATTGAAAGGCTTTTGGATGTCTTCTGGCCAAACAATCCTCCAGATGAAGGAATCTGTTCTCAGGAGCTCTGACCAAAGGCCTTCTACCTTTGCTTGGTCTTTGCTAGTGAAAAACCCGGAGCTCTCTGGCTTTGCTGTCTTTGTTGTTGTGTACCTTAGAGTCAGAACAGACCCATAGCTGACCCTCTGGTGGGTTTTCAGAGGCAGGTAATCACACCAGAGGAGATTGTCCATCTTTCTTCCACAGAGCTGCTGTAGAACTTGTTTTGAGTCATGTGCCTTGTGGCTTGCAAGCACAGTTTCTTACTACTAGGCCAGCCTCTGACTTCAAGGTAAACAACAACAACAACAAGAAGAAGGTCTTAGAAAAGCACCTGGCCCCTAGGCGGTCTCTTTTAAAAAGCATTGGCACAGCGGCTGGCTGCAAAGTTGGAGCCAGTCTGTGGGAGAACAAGAACTGTCTCTTCTGGTTAATATTTACAATCTCAAAGAACAATGGCGGGTTCCCATGAGTCTGAATCAACTGGAGAGCAGAGAGAATGGCTTGGGGGTTGAGGGTGAATGAGCCCTAATTCTGAGCTAGGCTTGGGGTGGGAGTGGGGCACAAATTCCTAAGCTAACTTCTAGCCTTGGGACTATATACATCCGAGGGGGGGAAAACTGACCCAGGAAAATGTGGTGAATGGTCAGACAGCCTGAAGAATCTCTTGGCTTAGGTCAAGACAACATCCCTCCCCTCATAGGCCAAGGTCAAGGTAAAGCACGGTAAAGCCATCTTTTCAGACACTCACACAATCTTAGCTCCCAGTGTGAGGACTGGGGCCTGAAGCAGGGAAGGAGGTGCCTGGAGGAAGTGTAATTTCCTCTTCTAAAATAAGCCACTGGAGTGAGCAGGGAAGGAGCACTGTCTGTCAGCCTGTCACTGGGTGCGGGGGCTGGCAGGGACACACTCAGGATCCAAGGGGAGGCGGGGACAGGTGGGAGGGAGCGCCGGAGTAGAGCGCACCCGGGGTGTCTGCTCTTGGGTGGGCACACGGGGCTTGGGGACCAGCGGGACTCCTCCTTGGCCGCGCCCCCTTTCTCCTCCTCCCTCTTCCTCCTCCTTCTCCTGGGCGCTGCAAGAGGCCGGGCTGGATCCCTCAGCAGCCTCCGCTCCTCCTCCTGGCAGGCTGGCTGGCGAGTCAGCTGACGCCGGCGCCCCAGTCTCGCCTCCCCGCGCCGCGCGCCCCCAAAGTGGCTCCTAGCCCGCGCCCACTTCCAGGCTTTGGGGGACAGAGAAAGTGATGCGCGCCTCTTAAAGCCAAGCAAAGCCGCCGCCGCCTGAGCAGCTGCGCCCCAACTTTCTCCCCCCACCCGTACGCCTTCTCCCCTTGGTCTCGCCCCTCACCCTCCCCAGAGCCACTTCGGAAATAGGCTGTGTGCGCGCGGGAAACAGGGTCACCGGCGGTCCGGGATGGCTTCCAATTTTAATGACATAGTGAAGCAGGGCTACGTGAGGATCCGGAGCAGGCGCCTCGGGGTGAGTATCGATCCTTCCTTCCCTGATCGCCGGCTGATTGTCTTTCTCTGTCTGTCGCCCGCTTCGCTGGGCAGTGGCGGCGACCCGGTGGCGCGCGGTGGTCTGCGCGGTGGTGGCTTTCCGAGCCGCCTCTCCCGGGGCTGCCAGTGCGGCCAGCGGCTGCCCGTGCCAGGGATCTATCTTTATCTCGTCGATGACTTGCCTTTCTGATGGTGGCCGCGTGCTCGCCTCCAGTAGCCACTGACGCCCATCTCACCCGAAATAAATATTTGCCCGTAGCCATGGGAGTGCGCACCCAGAGCCCGGGCCCCATGCCCCTCTCCCTGCTCGCTGCCAACTTAACTTTTCCGGAGGAGGGTGCCAGTGAAAGAGGGCGAATACACCTAGTGTCACCAAGGTCAACGACCCCGGGACCCTGGGGCAGGTTTCTGCCAAGCGACAGGTCTTGGACAGTGGCCCGCCTGGGCCCAGGTATTGGCAAAGGCAGCGCGCCAGGCTCTCGCCGGGGTCCTGTCGGCCGCGCTCGCCCCAATCTCACTTTTCCTTGTCTTGATGCTGGGTGGTGGCTTGCGGTTGCCGGATCCACACCGAAATCCGCTGGGAGCTGGTGGAGGGTGGAGCGTGGTGCTTGCGCGGAGCGAGCTCTCCATAAATACGCACTGAGAGAAAAGAATGAATGGATCTGGGAGTGAGGCTGTTGGCTTTGGGGTGACGCCTTCCTTAAACTCTCTTCTGCCCTTTCGGACCCCTCACCCCCTTCGTTGGTGGGCTTCAGGAGAGGATCCATCACCTTCCCCGCTGAACTTGAGTGACTTGGGGAAAAGATGCTGGAATTGCTTTCCTTTATTGAAAAAAAAATGATTTTAGGCTATCTCATTTCTCTTTAACTGTGTCAAATATTGTTGATGACATTTTATGTTGAATGAACGTTTTGGGAGCAGGGGAGTTGAAGGAACAGAGAGAAGGAAAGTTGACTTAGGTGATGCTGGAAATAATGATACTATCAGGGATAACGTCGTCGGCATGACGTCGGAGGGCAGTCTGGGAGAGTGGGTGCATTTCTCTGCAACTGTGTCATTCAGCATTCTTCTTTTATTTGGCCTCTGGACTTTTTTTGGTGCCCTGATAACTTTATTCAAAATGCAAAGGGAAATTCATAGCAGCAAATTGAGTTAGAGAGGGAACTCTGGGTAGGGTAGGGAATGAGGAACATCTGTAATTATGCTGAAACTCATGCCTGCTTTGTTTTGGTCTTTTCCCCTGCTGGTCACCACGTTTTAGCACTTATGACCATGATGTTGTGAATATGTGAGAGAAATGGAATTCAGTGAACCAGTCTCAGCCCAGAGTAACTTACCTCAGTTTTCTTCTCTGCAGTGCAAATACCTTTATTGGTCCCAGCAGCTATTGTCAGCATGCTTACCTGAGTGCCACTCTGGACAGACATAAAAAGAACATTAAGCTTTTTGATAACCATATGGGTCAGTCAAGTGCTAAGATTTGAAAGAGACGGGAAAAAATTAGGAGACATTAACACCACCATCTCAGTTGAGGAAATTGGTAAGAAAGAGACATCCAGACATCCGTTCTGTGTTAGAGAACATTCCACTAGGAAGAGGAATGTATTATTAATGCCTGAATGTGAATTATTCATAAGGACCAGAGTTTATGCCAAATTGTGACACATGGCAATTGATTTGAGAGACTGGTTACCATAACTTCCTAGTTTATGGTAACTGAGATGAATTTGATCTGTATTTTCACGACTGACACAATAGAACCCAATGTTTGTGTTATGTTTACAGGCAGATACCTGAAGCAGAAGGATTTTAGAGGTGTATGCATTTTATATTTTACAGTGTTTTAAATCCTAATAAGCTATATACTTTCTCAGGACTTATTCTTTCTGTCTATGCTCACATTCACACCGATTTCAGAATACCCATTGCTGATAGTATGCTATTTATGCCTGCAGAGAAAAGATCAAGAACACTGTCTACTAAATCTGGCCTTCTTTGTTAAGTCTGGTTTTGTCACGCTTAGTATTTTTAAATGTCCTCATGATGTAACTTATAAAGAAGGTGGATGATCTTGGCATCAGAACACGATACAGAATAGTTTCAATGGGGTCTGCCAGGAGTGGGCCAGGGTGCATCAGGGGAGTGGCTAAAGGACCCCCGTCTAAAGCAGGGAATACCAGCAGTGCTAATCCAGGCTGCATAGAGCCTGGGACAGCCTGGAACGTGCATACTTGGAGAGATGGCTGGAGTCTCCAGGCGGGTGGGCACAGAGGCGCTTAGGAAAGGCACGCTGAACTTCTTGTGAGCGTCTGACCTAGTGACTGCCAAGCCACTTCAGGATCTAATGTGACAGTGTGACTTAGTGGCTTTATTAAGAGAAGCCTGACGTGTCTGTAGATTAGAACCATGTTGGGGAGAGTTTATAATTAAATAGCAAAACAGCAGTTCATGGCAAGCAGCTGTCATGCCATGGTATGCCCCGTCGAGTTTGGGAAAAGAGAAGGGAACACATTCTATTTGTGGTACTCAGTAGCCTGATGACCCTTGACCTTTCTCAGTATGACTTTTCGAAATTGTTTAATTTAAACCCAAACCTAACCTATTGCCGTGGCATTTGTTACAGGAAAGTGGAGCACATCTTTCACAGAAGAGCAGTCGATGGCTCTGATCTGTCTACCGTTAGTTCTATTCATGAGCCTATGAATACTATTTAAAGGGCATTAAATAATAGTGCTTAAAATGCAATGAAAACACACAGCATCGAGGGAGGTTCATTATTATAGTCAAAGACGAACTGCTATTGTGCTCTATCAAGTTGGAACTGACCCAAAGCTGACTGAAATCCAGAGGATTTTCAGCTGGAAAATGGGAGGAGATTGCTGGAGAAGCTGGGGGATTTGAAACAGGTACCTTTGGCTTGGCAGTGCATCTCCTTACTGATAAGCCACCGGTGAGCACTCACAGAAGAACTCGAGGCTAAGTTTTTGTTAGTTGTTGCCCCGCTAATTTTAACTCATGATGACATCATGTGACAGTAGAAGGTTTCCGGAGGTTTTCTTGGCTATAATCTTTGTAGCGATGGATAAACGGATCTTTCCCCTGCAGAGTCACCGGGTGAGTGGGGACAGAACCTCCAACCTTTTAGTTGTTGTTGTACCATAGAGTCGGAACCCAGCCAGAGCTGGTCCTCCAGGGGCTTTTCAGAGACTGTTAATCACACAGGAGGAGATTGCCCATCCTTCTTCCCCAGAGCAGCTGGTGGTCTCAAACCCTTTGCCTTCAGAATTGCAGTGCAGCTTCTTGCCGCTAGGCTACGAGTTGCTGTCAATTCATGGTGAGCCTGAGTACCACGGAGCTGCCACATCCTGCACCATCCTGACAATGACCACAGCCACTGTGCCAAGCTGTCTCCTTCAGGGTCTTCCTCTTTTCACGAATCTGTACTTATCCATTCCTGATGGCCTTCTCCAGGAGCTGACTGCTCTTGAGAACACGTCTGGAGCGTGTGAAACAGAGTTTTGCCATAATCACTTCTAAGGAACATTTTGGTTACATTTTCCTCAAGGCATAATTTCTTATCTATTTAGAAATGTCCAAAGGCATAAGTGTTTATGTAGCTCTAAATATTGTATGAGCTTTACTTCAGTAGGGAAAGGAGCATCCAAAGACCATCTCCGTTTAAATGGATCATGGCTAAGTGGTCACCTTTAGCTGAAATTGTAAACAGTTAAAGTGTTTAAACAACCAAGTATGGATGACTTTTCTTCCCCCACTCCCATAAACATAGACAAGCATAATGAAATTCAGCTCATATAACTAAGAAGTTTCAGTATCTTCAAATCAGCATTCCGTAACATAATCTCCATTACTTCATGGAAGTCTCAAGTATTTGAGTAGAGGATTTGTTCAGGAATGTCAATGATGTGACTATTTGGGGGGGCTGTCTGGGGAGAAGGGAGCATCTGTCTATAATTATCTCACTATTCAACAAAAGGCACTAAAAATGTATTCTTAGATGAGTGGTAAATCAGATGCCTGAGCGGCACATCGTGAACCTGATGGATTATGGGTCTTAGACTGCATCATAAAGCTGTTCATTCCTCTCCTTGCAAAAGGAGAGGATTCCCCAATCAATAACTGTCATGACTTGTCTAGGATACAAGCCCTAGGATTGAGACCCACACCTATTATTTTTATGTGCATGCAATTCTCCAATTACTTGCCTTTAAATAACATCTCCAAGCTGACATCTATGGCCCTCATCTCTGAGCTGCTCTCTGCTGTGTCTCAACGTCTGCTCATGTCTCTGCTTGGATGTCTGACATATCTCAGACTCATGTGCTAAAACTCTTGATTGTTTCACCCAAGGTGGGTTCTATGTCTCAGTCACTAGAGCTACTGCCATTTTAATTGACCAACAAACAGTCCTTCAAGCCTTGGTCCCATCTCCCTCTTCTCTCTCCCCATCCCCATAACTAATCTCTCAGGAGACCTGTGTTTGGGTATTTAGAGTCTGATCATCTTGCATACCATCCACGGCTACCATCTGGTTCAAACTTCCATTGTCTCTCCACTATAATCTTGAAATAGCCTTGCAGTTTGCCTCTTGCCTACCTCCGTGTTCCCTTCGATCCGTTCTCAGTGCAGCGGCATCCTTGGAAGACGTAAGACTGATCAGGTTACCTGGCTGTTCCAGCCTCAGCACTGACTCCACACGCACTTCAGAGAAGTTTTAGCTGCTTTTGTTGCCATTCAATCCCATTGGGTTGATTTTGACTTACAGCAACCCCATATGACAGAGTATATCTTCTTTATAGGGTTTTCTAGACTATGGTCTCCATGGGAACAGAAATCACCAGATCTTTATACCGCTGAACCACTGCATGTGTTCTAACTACCAAGCTTGTGATTAACAGCTGAGCACTTAAGACCTTTGCATCACAGGGCGCCTTCACCATGAGCCGTGAGGCCTTACGTGGC